TCCACAAAAGTCAATGCTGAGAAAAAATAATTATAAATCAAAAATCAATACCAGGTGGATTAAACATGAAAGACGAACCCACTTTGGAAAGGCATAAAGGAGAAAATCGTCTGACTTCAGAGTAAGGAGACATTCCTTAAGCAAGACACAAAGGACACAAGCCATAAAGCAAAAGAGGAATTAATTGGACTTCATTGAAATGTACTACTTTCTGTTCATCAGACACCACATTGAAATGGAAAGATAAGACACACTGGGAGAAGATGTCTGCAGGACGGATAATTGGCAAAGAGTCACTTAGGAAATATATGAAGAACTCTCGTAACTATTCACCAAAAAACAAAAAATATTTAACGGACAAAAGACTTGAACAGGTGCTTCACATAAAAGGAAATCCAGATGGCAAATACACACAAGCAAAGATGCAGAACCTCATTCCCTCCCAAGGAAATGCAAATCATCAAAATGGTAAAATCTCAGGAAGCTTGAAGAATTGCTTGAGCCCAGGAGTTCCAGGCCAGCCTGGGTGACATAGCAAGACTCCATCTCTAATAAGGAAAAAAAAAAAAGTTTAAAAATGTTAAATTCAGACAAAACCCAGTGTTGACAAGGATGTGGAGCAGCAGTACCTTTTATAGGTGGCTGCTGGGTGTGCACTCTAGAAAATCATTCAGCAGTACCTAGTAAAGTTGAAGCTGTCCAGACTGCTGGCAAAGTAGCTCTATTTCTGGCTATTTTCTGTAAATACCTGCTTGGAAAAGATGGTTCCAATGTTTACAGTGGTCACAGCAGCATTTCTTCAGTGGTGCAGGCGTACCATGGAATACTACACAGCCAGGAAAATGAACAGCGACAGCTACACACAACTGCAAAGAGGAATCGTCAAGCCTAGGCTGAGCAATAGGAGCAAGTCATGGAAGCATTCCCAGGATGCGATCCCATCAGGTAGCATTCAAACACAGACAAAAACTAAGCACCTGTTTAGGGGTGCCTACATGAGTGGGAAAACTGGAACTAAAAGGCAGAAAATGATTACCCCAAAAGTCAGGTGAGTGGTTCCCAAGGGGAGAGGGAAGGAACCCAGGAAGTTTCAGGGGCGGTGGCAATAGTGTGTCGCTCCAGGGGCTCACATTACCATTTGTGTGTGCCATTCGCTTTATGGCAATAAAATCATATTGTTTACAAGGATGCCCTGCTCTGCCCAGTGGTCGGGGAGGCTCTGTCTGGCCCTGTGCAGAGACAGTCCAGGTGCAGAAGTGCAGAGGGACCAGGGGTGAGCCCAGTTCTGGGACCAGGCTGCTGGGAGACCAGAAACACGGGGGCCAGGGCCCTCCCTGAAGCCATCTAATTTGGCTGAGTCACACATGGGGCTGCACCTGTGACGGCCACAGAGGCCCTGCGGCTGTGCCTGGCAGACACCTCCCTGCACCGGAAAGGCTCCCACCGTCTCTGACCAGTCCCCCCACTGCACCTCCTCTTACAGGAGCTCAGGAAGGAGCCCAGGCAGGCACCCCTTCTCCTCCAAGGCGTGGCACAGCCCTGGTCACAGAAATGGGAGAAACTGCTTTGATCACCCTCCAGTGTGCCCCTGTCCCCATTGACTCAGACTCCAGCTCCCCCAACCCCAGCCCCCTTTGGAGACATATTGGTCCCCTTCCTTTACAGAATAATCTCAGACTGGCTGGCTCTGCACCTGCCCAAGCCCCACGGCAGGAAACAGGCTTTGCCTGGTGCCTGCACCACACTCCCCCTTCTCCACCCCCACCACCAGCAGCCTGTGCCTGGCCCTGTTCTAGAACATAATGCGGAACCAGCCCTGCCCACTGTGAGAGCCTGGAGGAGGCAGCTGGGTGGGGCAGGGGCAGGCTCTGAGCATCCAGGGATCATCCAGGGGACCATCCCCACCAGGCCGCCCAGAGGGCAGGCAGAGTGACCAGCAGGCTCCTGGCACCAGAGGGGCCATGGGCTTGGCAGACGGCGGTGGATGGGGACAGTGGGAGCTCCCCATGCCACAGGGCAGCAGACTTCAGGACAGGCAGGCAGAGGCTCTCAGGCGAACCAGGAGCTGAAAGCATTTAACGTGACCACAGGGGCCGTGGGGTCACAGGACCAGGGCAGCCCCACAGAACACAGGGAAGACGGCTGGTTCTCAAGCCCCATCTGGAGCCAGGGCTGGGGCCCTACCTCAGGGACCCACGCTGGGGACACAAACAGCCTCTCCCCAGGCCTCTGCGCCCTGTGCTCCCAGGGAGGAGCTATGGCGATGGGCTGTCTACTGTGCCTTCCAAGGCCAGCTCATTTATTCCTGGTCAGTCCCAGCAGCCCAGACCTGGCCCTGTCGGGCCCTGAGGGCAGTGCAGGAAGAGCTTAGAGGAAAGCCCCCAGGGAGACTGGATTCCCTTTGGTGAGGCAGAGGCTGTTCACCATGGAAAGCCACTCCCTTCTCTTCATTTCCCAGAGCAACACATTCAGCTCCACTTAGCTCTCTTCACAGCTGCAGTAGGACATTGGTCTGTATCCAGAACCCCCAGAGGCTACCCCGCCTTAATGCACACACATGTCTGGATGAGCCAGCATCTAGCAGGATGCCTGGCTGCAGCTCATCATGGGCAGTGTTGGCAGGGGAAGGCCATAGTCCAGGCTCTGCTCCCACATACACCCACACTCACTGACCCATGGCCCTTACCGGGAGCCTAAGAGGTCAGTGCTCCTTTGTCTCCATGGACCAATGTCATCCAGCGAGAAAGTGGTGGGGGTGGGATTTGAACCCAGGCCATTGGTACCATAGTCCACACACTAACCACTGTGCTTATGATCACCAGGTCACTGTAGGGGACAAGATGACAAAGTCAAAGAAAAATGACAGAGCATAGGGACAGGGCCAGTCTCTCCCAACAACGAGAAGTCAGAAAAGTCTGTGGGTCCAGAAGCAGCTCCCCTTTAGGTGTAGGTACTTTTTTTCTAGTGTCTGCTGCCTACTAGGTCCTTTAATAAATATTTCCTAGGTAGATAGGTTGATGGATGAATGGACAGGTAGATAAATGGATGGATGGATGGATGGATGGATGGATGGATGGATGGATGGATGCTTGGAGGATGGAAATGGGTGGATGAATGATGAATGGATGGGTGGGTGGGTGCGTGATGGATGGACGGACGGACAGATGGACAGACAGATGGATGGATGGATGGATGGATGAATAAATGGGTGGGTAGGTGGGAATGTTAAAGTACAGGTAGATAGCAGCATAGAGAGAAGGGAGAGTAAAGGGTAAATAAGTGAGTGGATGGATGGATGGATGGATGGATGGAAGAATAAGTTGGCATGGTGCTAATGTGATATTTATTTTATGTCCCCAAAGGCATTTTTTGCACATATGATAGATTATTTAGAAATTACTTTGGGTTTTAAAAAATTAAAATTTGCATGTACTAATGATACAAAATCAGAAACGTGTGTTTTTCTCCCTTAAACTATTGAGCTGAAACTACAAATATTATCATTATAAGTTTAAGAAATCTCAAAATTCTTTCTAAAAGTTCTCTCATTAGCAGCAGGTCCTACTACTTAATAAAACACCATCAAAAACTTAATCACATTAACAAACTTAATATATTAGATCTTGCCTGACAAATCTTCCCAAATTGAGTAGTTCTTTCAAATTTAAAAACATAACTTCTTAATATGATGAAACTTAGATTCTCTTAAATGTCCCAACATTCTACATAAACTTTATGATTTCAACTGATAGTCATAAGTCTAATTCAAGTAATTAAGTATATATTTCAAATTTTAATTAAAAGGCTGAACTGTCCTTCTAATAACCCAAAATCTCTTAAACATCACAAATGCTTATAATACCAAACATACCCAGATTCCTTCACACAAAACTATGAATACCGAAAGTTGATACCATAAAACATTTCTGCACCTAATTCTAAATATTCCCTTGAGTTTAAACATGTTTTTTCACTAAGGAACCAACCAAGAGATTTGGGAAGCATTATCTAGGTAATTGGAGGTTAGAAAATACTAGCATTATCAGTCAGTGTGCTGATGGTATTTTCATCTACCACACAGACGGGACTTGCAGAAACCTATTTATGTTTTGTTATAGGGACTCCAGATCTTAGAGTTTGGTTTTGAGCCCTTGACCCCATATAGAACCTGATCCCGTTCCTTTCATGCACATCTATAAACCCCACCCAAGGGGTTCAAATGGATTTGCATTTATCAAACTTCTGCATGATTGGCATAGTGTTCCTGGTGAGACCTGGAGGGTGGCTCCCAGGTACCCAAACTTGGCTGGAGCCCTGAAGCAGGCACAGCTAATCTGGTTGATCTACTCCTTCGCACTCATGGAGCAGATGGAAAACAGCCCAGAGGGGCAGCACAGGAAGCAAATTTGGATGATCCAAATCTCAAAGCTGAGTGGGAATCTGTGGACAAAGCTTCTAAGGTCATACCAGTGATGTGTGGTGTTTGGATGAATGGATGGATGGATGGATGCATGCATGTTTGGATGGGTAGAGGATGGATGGTGGGTGGGTAGATGGATAGATGGGTGGATGGGTGGGTGGACCACAGTCTGATGGGTAGATGGGTTGGTAGGTCATTGTTTGAGTAGGTGGATAGAATGGATGGACAGAAGTTTTATGACTGTATGGGTGAATGGGGAGTAGTGGATAAGTAGGTGAAGAAGTCAATGGGTAAGTGAGTGAATGTGCAGGAGGATCATGCATGAATGGGTGAGTGGATGTCATGGGTATATGGGTACAGGAGAGGTAGATAAGTATGTGTACAGAAATTTGGATAAAGGGATGGATGTGGGTGTGTTATGGGGTGGTTGGGTAGGTTGACGGATGGATGGGTGGATAAGTATTGTGTTACATGGGAGGAAACAAGTTTAGTTAGGTTGGTGGGTGAATGGCTGAGTGAGTAGTTGGATGTAGACATGGAAGCTGGCTGGCTGGGTGGATGGATGATGGGTGAGCGAATGAATGGGTGGGTGGGTGATGAAAGAAAGGGAGGATGGATGGGTGGATAGATGGGTGAGTGAATGAATGAATAGGTGGGTGAATACAATAGGTGGATGGATGGATGGATGGATGGATGGATGGATGGATGGATGGATGGTTGGATGGATGATGAAAGAAAGAAAGGATGAATGGATAGGTGGGTGAATAGAATAGGTGGATGGATGGATGAATAAATGAATTGGTGGATGAACAGGGGGAGGGAGGGAGGGAGGGATGGATGGATGGATGGATGGATGGATGGATGGATGGATGAATGGATAGATAAGTGAATAAATGAATGGGTGGATGAATATGTGGATGAATGGATGGATGGGTGGATGGATGGATGATGAAAGAAAGAGAGGATGAATGGATGAGTGGATGGGTGAGTGAGTAAATAAACGAACGGGTGGATGAATGGGTAGATGGATGAATGGGGGAATGAATGGGTAGATGGATGGATGGGTGGATGGATGGTTGGATGAATGGGTAGATGGATGGATGGGTGGATGGATGGTTGGATAAATGGGTAGATGGATGGATGGGTGGATGGATGGGTAGATGAATGGGTAGATGGATGGATGGGTGGATGAATGGGCAGATGAATGGGTAGATGGATGGGTGAATGAATGGGTAGATGGATGGATGGGTGGATGAATGGGTAGATGGATGGATGGGTGGATGAACGGGTAGATGGATGGATGGGTGGATGGATGAATGAATGAGTGAGAGGATGGGTGGGCGATGAAAGAAAGGAAGGATGAATGGGTGGACGGGTGGGTGGATGGATGTATGAAAGGATGGAAGCTGGCTGGATGTGGGGGTGGATGAGTTGAATGGACAGATGGGTAAGTGGGTGAGTAAGTGGGTGGGTGGATAGCGAAGGAATTAATAATAAGTTATTATTATAAACATTACTATTATTATATAAATAAGTTTCCAGTTTAGAAGACTAGTATCCTTCTGAGAGCTCTCTCAGAGGGTCAGGCTCTACAAATTTGCTTCCTGGGCTGCCCCTCTCTGGGTTGTTACCTCATTTGCTCCATGAGTGTGAAGGAGTAGATTGGCCAGATTAGCTGCGCCTGTTCCAGGGGCCCAACCCAAGCCCGGGTGCCTGGGAGTCACACTCCAGGATACTCGACCCCTGCCCTCTGGGGCCAAGGTCAGCAGCCTCTGGCCAGACTCCTCCTCTTAAAACAAGCTCAGGCAGGGAGAGAACACTGCCCTTCTCTGGTTGCCATGGAAAATCCTTCATCGCTTGTTTTTCTCTTCGACTGATTAAGGAAAGGGAGTCATAAAATGAAAGGGCGTCACTGGGCCTTGCCACTGGCCAGCTTTGACTTATCCCCTGACATTTCCCAGGAGCCAGCTAACCTTTTCTGCCATAAATAGACTGAAGTGGGTCCCTCGAGGCGGTCTAGCCTGAACAGAGTCCGTCTCAGGGGAGGCGGGGACCCGGGACACAGCAACAGGAGCCGGGTCATTCGAATAACCAGGAAAGAGAGCAGACGGTGCTGGGACTGAGAGCACAGCGAGGACCCTCAGGAAGCCACCAAAAAACAGCCTTTGCAGCAGTCAGGACTGCTGCCAGGACCAGCAGGCAGAGCCCAGGGAGCAAACACCCGCTGTCCCTCCCTGGGGCCCTGCTGTGTTCCCAGGCATGACACTCGCCTCCCAGGGCAGCAGCCTGGCCTCTGCTCCTCTCCAGGCAGAAACCACCCGGGGATGCTCCCGGGTCAATGTGCTGGGGTCCTAGGGGCTTTGGCAACTCCCAGGCGGGTTCCACCACAGATCCTGCTGCCTCAATCCAGAGGGCTTTTGGAAGGCACCCCTGCTGTGGCGTCGCAGAGGGAGGAGACCTGGGATGTGGCCAAGCAGGGTTGTGTATACAGCAGGATACCTTCGTCTGCCCTTCCAGCTATAAATCAAGACTCAGCCACGGAGAGGGAGGAGAAAGTCCACAGGGGCTGAGCCTCCTCCCCGGCCCTGGTCTCAGTCTCAGGATAGAAGACTTTAACCCCAGAAGGCCCTCAGGAGGCCGCTCAAGCTGACACCCTCGAACTTGTGCTGCGATGGGGGGTGACAGGGCGAGGACAGAGCCTAGGGTCACAGACCAGGAAACTGAGTTGCCTCAGCTCACCCATGGTCCCAGGGCCAGGACAGGGCAGAGACCGAGACCGAAGTCAGGTCCCACCTAGAGCCTCAAGCCCAGTCCCCACCGTGCTGCCCGAATCTGGGTCCTGATGGCGTCCCCGCAAGGCCGCCCTCGTGAAGGGACTCGGGAGGTTCACTGGGTGAATGAACGAGCACAGCGAATGAAGGCCGAGCTCATGGCTGGGAGCTGCCATCCCCAGCTTCCTCCAAAACAGACAGCCTGATGCGCAGGTCTCAGACCTGGGAGGGGGCCTGGGCTACCGACCCCGCCTCTTCATTTACTGATGGGGAAACTGAGGGCCAGTCTGCCACAGCAATGCCGGGGATGCCTGAGTCTCCCCTTCCTCCTCCTCCTCCTCCTCCTCCTACTTCGCCTCCCCTTTCCTCTTCTCCCCCTTTCCTCCTTCTCTTCCTCTTCCTCCCTCCCTCCCACCCATCTCCCTCTCCTGAGCCCAGCCCTCCTCTGCAACCAGGCTTGTCCCTCTTTGGATCCAAAAGAGCAGGAACTGCCCTGGGGCCAGTCAGCACGAAAAGGGATGACTGTCTCTTCCTCCAGAGGACAGGGACTCTGTGCCCCGGGCACTCTGAGGTCAAACCTGGTTCCCACTCAGACCATGAAGATGCCATCCACTAGGTCAGAGTCATGAAGCCACGGGTCCCAGGGGACAGCTCAGGTGGCCGCAGGGCCAGACTCTAGCAGGCTGCCCTCTGCCTCCTCTGTTAGCACAAACGCCCCCTCCCCTCAGGCCTGAACTCTGATATGGGCCACTGGGCACCAGGCCCTGTCAGGAACAGGAGGAGGCCACAGCCATCCTCAGGAGAGAACAAAGGACACACAGGCCTCGGGGGAGAGCAGTGGGTGGCAGTGACAGGAGGGGCTACTTGGGATTCACGAGCAAGGGCCAGGCAGCTTGGCCACCTTGGAGAAGCCACTGCACCCCTCCGAGTCCGGGTTTCCCTCCTGCAGGCAGCACCGGCATCTCCTCCCGGGGGCCCCGAGTGGGTCAGCCTAGGCCAGGGAGGTCGAAGGGTTCCGTGAGCTGTGAAGTGCCGGCACCGGCGGGGCAGGGGCGTTCGTCCTGCAGTCAGGCTGCCCTGGAGGGTGGAACACATATGCAGCGGGAGGGGTATGCCGTCCAGTGAGGCCCAGCTCCCCGAGCCTTTCCTGATGGTACTGGAAGAGAGGCAGCATGCCAGAAGCATATAAAAGGCCCGGGGACTGGTGCTGGGGGCACGTGGCCGGGGCGACGCTGGGTCGGGCTGTGTCCCCCCAGAGCACTTGCAGCAGACACAGCAGGGGCATGAGCTCCAGGGTCCCAGGGTCCATCTCCTTCCCTGCATCAAACTCTATCTGCTGGAAATCCCTGGAGTGGTTCCTCCATCCTGCTCTGAACCTCCTTGACTGATCCCGCTGACCGGTGCCCTGCACAGCTGCCTGGAGACCAGAAGATTCCATACGTCTCCCTCCACCTGCCCAGCACCCCCATGGCCAGGAGGCCGCCCTCCCTAATTCCGGCTTTTCTCCGTGTTTTCCCAAGTACGGGGCACTGGAAGAATGTGTGCATGAGACATTCTTACAAGCCAGAGCCCGCCGGAGGCATCCAGGAGAGCAAAACCTCCCCTCTGGGTCTACAGATTTGCCCGCATTCCTCGGAAATAAACCTGCAGCCCCTCCTCTCCCTGCAGAAGTTGGCGGATCTTCCAGGGCAAAAGGATACGTCTTCCCTGTGGCAAAGACGGGGCGGGATGGCCAGCAGTCCCCTTAGAAGATCGAGGGTTTCCTCCGCTGACACACACCTGCTCTGTTTGCCCCCCTGAGATGTGGGGGACAAGGCAGAGAGAGAAGGACATGCTGTACCCTGAGTCATAATGGTCAGGACCCTCCAGGCTTGTTGCTTCCTTGCTGGTCACGTTTTCCGAAGTGCGGCGCAAACATGGCCGCTACTTGGCCACTTGACTGCGAGTTCCTGTGCCTCTCGGGTCACCAGCGTTTCTCCCTGGCTGTGCCCACACCTCACCTGGCCTCCCAGGCCCTGTCTCCCCGAACTTCTCACAGCACGCTCCCCTGCAGTCTGTGTCCAGCCTCTCCGGCCGCCTTCCACGTCTTGAACCAGCGGTGTGAGTTCCTACCATGGGCCCAGCGCAGGCTCCTTTGGCCCTGCTGAACCCATTCTCATCCTTCAGGGAGTCTCAGATAGTTTTTGTTTGTTGTTTATTTTTTTTCCCTTCCAACTTTTATTTGAGGTTCTAGGGACATACACGTTCAGGTCTGTTACACGGGTAAGCTGCATGTCACGGGGGCTCGGTGTACAGATTATTTCATAACCCAGGTACTGCGCATAGTACGACAGGTGGGTGTTTTGTGTTTGGTTGGGTTTTTTTGTTTTTGATTTTTGTTTTTTTTTCTGAGATGGAGTCTTGCTCTCGCCCAGGCTGGAGTGCAGTGGCATGATCTCAGCTCACTGCAACCTCTGCCTCCTGGATTCAAACAATTCTCTGCCTCAGCCTCCCGAGTAGCTTAGATTACGGGTGCCTGCCACCACACCTGGCTAAATTTTTTTGTGTATTTTTAGTAGACATGGGGTTTCACCATTTTGGCCAGGCTGGTCTTGAACTCCTGACCTCGTGTTCCACCCGCCTCGGCCTCCCAAAGTGCTGGAATTACAGACGTGAGCCACCGTGCCCGGCCAACAGGTGGTTTTTCTATGCTGACCCTCCTCCCGCCTCCGCCCTCAAATGGTCTGGTGTCCGTGTGTCCATCTGTACTCGATGTTTAGCTCCCACTTATGAGCGAGAACATGCAGTATTTGGTTTTCTGTTCCCGTGTCCATTCACTTGGACAGGAGTCTCAGAATAAACACAGCCTCCTCAAGAGAGGCCTTCCCTGGTCACTTTCCCAAAACTAGTCACTGCCTCTCCCTGCCCCCGTCACTCTTTGGCCTTTTCATCCATTCATTCACTCATTCACTCATTCACTCACAGAGCATTCACTGTGCCCCGCACTTCCAGGCTTCATCTGGGCTCACAGGATACAGCCATGAGCAAGACACACGCCCTGCAGTCATGCAGTTCAATCCCAGGGGGAGACAGAAGGGAAATCCAACACGGAAATGGCCACTGGACTCTCTGCTGCTCTGCACTGAGGTTAGAAAGGGAGGCCAGGGCAGAGGCCACCCAGGTGTGGGGTGAGGTGAGCGAGGGGACACAGCACACCCTTCTCCCGCCCACCTCACACCCACACCCCTCTCCCGCCCGCCTCACACCCCTCTCTGGCCCACCTCACACCCCTCTGCTGCCCACATCCGTGTCTCTCTCCCATCTGTCTCACACCCCTCTCCCACCAATGTCACACACTTCTCCCGCCCGCATAGCCCTTCTCACTCTCGTTTTCATGGCGTCTGATTCCAGGTCCTCTGCAGAGCAGGCACCAACCAGGATTAAACGTGCAACGAGACTTTTTAATGGAGG